CTGACCCCCTCAATGGTGCATGTAACGCCTGACTATAGTTGTTAATGACCACGAGTCGTGTACGCGTGTAGGCGGAATAAAGCTATCGTTTGAGGTTCAATCCGTTGTAATCGTCCCATCAGATCAGTCACAACACCCATCACTGACACCCTTGAGTAATTTTCCATCATAACTGGTGATATACTGACTTGGATTATAATTAGACGAATGGAAATTGCTCTAGGTAAACAGCACGACATGTTGCAACTATTATCAATCAGTTTTTTTTTTCATTTGAGCGTCGAAGTTTTTTAATTGAGCCTCGAATTGCTCTGATCATACTTTAGTTAAACGCTCTTTGATTCCGGTGTTTAAGAAAGAGTTACCATCTCCACCAATTAAAACATTATAATCAAGATCTGTTAATCTGCGTTTTCCCACGTTTCAAGCAGTATATGTTAGTTTTTACTTTGAGTTCTCATTGTCTACTTGTTATTTTCTCTTTTGTTATGATAGCTAGATGACTGGGTTTAGTCTTGGTTGTTCAACACTGAATCGAATTAGGTGCTTTCGTCATCGCATCCCCTCTACCACCCCGTACAGGTGTTCTAAATAAAAAGATCTTGAGTTAACAATTTCGGCTTGACAAAGCAAACAGTTACTCCTAGTTTTCTGGTGGGCTTCTCTACCCATAAATAAAATGAAAGTACTATGTTAGGGGTTTAGAATAGAGGAAATCTGAAAATTGAAAATCATCATGAAACGGAATGAACTCTCAAATGACCAAAAAAAAGCTGGCACCAAAGAAATAGTAAACAGAATTAGATCGTTAAATTTCGGGGATTAGTAGATTTGTAACGTTAGTTTTTAATAGTATTTTGATTGCGGCGGTAATATTGTAATCACAGTTTTAAAAAGCTTTTAATCAGTATTTAATTTGTGATTTTACCAGCTATGATATTAGCGTTGTTAGTTGTTAGGTTTTCATTGGGTTTTAGGTGGAATACCTGTAAACTAGCTCTTAAGCTAAGCATATTGTTTACGGATTGCCATGGGATACAAGCGCTGAAGATGTATTAACGCGAACTGGATGGGACAGTCTGGAAACAATGTACAAAGTGCGACTAACAGAGTTTTCTTCAAATGTACGAAGGGTTTCACCGTTACAGAACTCGAAAATCTTTTTACCCAAAGGAAATCAGGCCGCAGAAGAAAAGATGACATTATTCTTCCCAGACCTGAAACAAACTTTATCAGGAACTCCATAAGACATCGAAACGTTGTGTGTGATATTATCAATTAGTTTTTTTTTTTCATTTGAGCGTCGAAGCTTTTTAATTGAGCCTCGAATTGCTCTGATCGTACTTTAGTTAAACGCTCTTTGATTCCGGTGTTTAAGAAAGAGTTACCATCTCCACCAATTAAAACATTGTAATCAAGATCTGTTAATCTGCGTTTTCCCACGTTTCAAGCAGTATATGTTAGTTTTTACTTGGAGTTCTCACTGTCTATTTGTTATATTCTCTTTTGTTATGATAGCTAGATGGCTGATGACTGGGTTTAGTCATGGTTCTTTACTGACTGAATCGAATTGGGTGCTCTCGTCATCGCATCCCCTCCATCACCCCGTACGGTGTTCTAAATAAAAAGATCTTGGGTTAACAATTTCGGCTTGACAAAGCAAACAGTTACTCTTAGTTTTCTGGTAGGCTTCTCTACCCATGAATATAATGAAAGTACTATGTTAGGGGTTTAGAATAGACGAAATCTGAAAATTGAAAATCATCATGAAATGGAATGAACTCTCAAATGACAATAGAATAAAAGCGAGCACCAAAGAAATAGTAAACAGAATAAGATCGTTAAATTTCGGGGATTAGTAGATTTGTAACGTTAGTTTTTAATAGTATTTTGATTGCGGCGGTAATGTTGTAATAACAGTTTTAAATAGCTGTTGATCAGTATTTAATTTGTGATTTTACCCGCTATGATATTAGCGTTGTTAGTTGTTAGGTTTTTATTAGGTATTAGGTTGAATACCTGTAAACTAGCTCTTAGTAAGCTAAGCGTATTTCCACGTTAAATAAAGTATGTATGTATCTAACGGCGGACTAGATCATCTCAAGGGACTAGACGTACCAACATGTACACAAACCTTTTCGCTGACTGCAAGTTTCTCTGGTTGATTAAACGGGATAAATCATAGACTATTAAGACTCTTGTTTCGGATTCAAATATTTTCTCCAGTGTTCTACAATTAACAGTTGTCAGGTGCCCATGGTACAAAAATGTTCCAACGTTCCCAGTTTTCGATTTCAACTTACTTTTAATTATATCAATAAAGTTATTGGAGCTTGTGAAGAAATTACCTGTCGATCTAATTACCACTCTCGGTCATGCACACAGCATCAGGTGTTTTCAATCTCCTGCTTTTGTTTTGTTTCGTTTTTTAGCCTCTATTTGTTGTTTGAGTATTTCTGTGTTTTTTTTTCTGTCTACAAATTTTCCGAAAATTACTGCAACTTTCTTACTCATCTGCGGTTGGTCGGCTTTTCTGTCGGTGAAATCTTCAATTTTCTCCAGAGGAAATTTCCCCATTTTCTGCCCATTAAGTTAAGCGTGAAAGGTGCAGTAATTGCCAGTACTTCTAAGTGAAAAATATTAATTTCGTTTCAATACACAGTAGATCGTTTATGTCAAGAACAGATCAACAAAAGTCGCGCTTAACTTAATGGGCAGGAGAGTGTACCTTTCAAAGGATCCTTAAATAGATAAGTGACAGTTCTAATTAAAAGTTGATATAAGTGTTGCCTTACTTCAGGCATTTTACATATGCGAGGAGGTAATTAAATTTGTTGGAGTTAGTCGTTGCGTAACATTGCTGTTCGCGTAACAACCAGAGGTGGGACTGGTGTGATAACCGGCCCATGCTTACATCAAAGTTTTCTATTATGGAACTATAAATAGCTTTAAATTCTATGATACTCTTGTAAATAAATTTTGCGACTCGACAATTTCATAACCAACTAACAAAAGACTGATTTGACATTCTGTCATTTTTCACGGTTGCCTGAGTGCCCTGGTTGCTTAATAATTTATTACCATTGCCAATTGCAAACACAACAAATCAAGAAATGAATAGCTCCTTCAGTTCTCACCTCAAAATTTTGCTTTTTGGTTTCTTCGTAACCAGCCTTTATCAAGCAGTTTCTGAAGTTTACATCGATGGTGGGAAGGGCTTGAAGCGGGACAAAGTCAACAATGTTGCCTTCGGTAACTTTGCTGTACATAAATTTTTCTATCTTAGTTTGCCACCTCTGGTGTCTACTTCAGTCAAAGATGTGGGAGACTGTGCCAGGCTTTGTGTGGATAATTTAGCGTGTTTCTCGGTTAACTTTGCGGTGATGCGTGATCAAGATGGGAATATAACGTGTGAAGTATTACCAAGCGATAAATACAATAACTCCGGCCATTTTAATCATAGCGCTATGTTTCATCATTTAAGTATAAAGGTTAGTGCATCTTCTTTTTTATCAAGCTTTCATGCTATGTAGATATGTATTTGTTTTTAATTCAATTTGTATTTGATTAAATGTTATACTGCGACTTTGGTTTTAAAGTCTGAATTTTACGGTTTCGTGATCAGTACGTTCAAATTATTCCCATTTGTTTGTTAGACATTTGCTCTTTGTTTTGATTATCTATACAGTTATGATTGAGTTTCAATGTATTCGCTCTTTTAACTACGTCGCAAAACTATCTCGAGTTAGCCAAAGGCGCCTAGCATCGTAAACGCAAGGATTTGTTAAAAAATATATTCTGCTAGACAGTTGATGAGCCCCCGAGCTGGCTGTGAAGAAGTGGAAAAAGGTTTTTTTCTGTTTGTGAGACAAACTGTGAGACAAACTGTGAGACAAACTGTGTGAGACAAACTGTGAAAGACTCTGTCCAATGTGGTATCACTGTAATCATTCGTCACACGCTTAAAAAACATTGCAGTGTTTTCACGACTCTTTCTCGGAGACGAACTTTATTTTTGAGTTAAAAAAGAATGTAGGTCACTTTCACCTTAGTCTTCCAAAGAAACTTGGATTTATATTGCCCAGCCAGTTATATTCTCCTCAGTAGAGCCTGTGATGTAACAAACCTATGTCCGGCGTTTCAAGACTGAAAGCTTCCTAGGTAGCCTGACAAAGTCTTGAAGTGAACTGGATTAATTAAAATGGGAAAACTCTGAACGAGTGATATTAAGAATATCACTGCAGAAAAACCTATTTTCTCTCGCGTCGACAGACTTATTTTTTCATCTTTATTTAAACAGAATCCTTGTTCCAGCGGTCCTTGCTTGAACAATGCAACTTGTGTGGCAAAGTACGAAGATGATGATTATCAGTGCGCATGTGTGCCTGGATTTTATGGAAGGCAGTGCGAAAATATAGGTACACAGTATGCCTGGCACAATATTGAATATTTGATTTGCATGGTTGGCACATGTTTACGTGTTTTTGCCATTGAAATCGAAGTCGTTTTTGTTGTTGCTAGAGCATACGATGCATATCTAGCCTACCTAGTGGGCGGATATTTAGCGAGGGAATCGTTATGAATTAAGTTTTTCCGCGAACGCATTGCCGCCATCTTGGATTTTTGAAGGAAGATAAGTGGATCTAGAAAAAGATTGTCCTACCGAGACTCCTTCATATAAGATTAACAATATGGCGACCCTGTTGTTAGGCCGTAACAAGCACAACTACAGAAAGCCCCGCTTATACCTAATTATTCTTTTTTGTAATTTGTAGGAGTTGACTGCCGTGACATGAGGAAACGAGCTCCTTCCCAGGGAGATGGTATGTATTGGTTGGACCCGGATGGAGGAAGCCATTCCAATGCATTCCTGGCCTACTGTGATATGACCTTATACAATGGAGGATGGACCATGTGTTATACTACCGATGAATATGTCCAGCCGAAGACTGAAGTCACATACAACGCTAAGTTTCCTTATGGAAGTGACGGCTACAGGACGAACTGTAATGATATATCGGTGAGCTAGGCTTCTTCTGTCACCCAGTTAATATTTTCGACACATAGCTGTTTTTCATCAGCAAGATAAGACAAGACACCTTGAAGATAAGACAAGACACCTTGAAGATAAGACAAGACACCTTGAAGATAAGACAAGACACCTTGAGGACCAGATGAACGATCAATAATCTTTGTACAACATAGTGTTTGTCGCCTTGTTAACTGAAAATCCAAGTCATGAGCACAAGAGAAAGCCAGGCGCCGAAAAAAGGTTTTTTTTCTCCCCTTTTGGCTCTCTGATAAATAGCTAAAAGTTTAGCCTCACATTGAAAAAAAAAAAAAAAAAGTTTGATTGGCGAACTAGACGAAAACTGGTCTCCCTAGTCCAGGAAAAACAAAATCCTTGGTATGGGAATGAAATAAATTCGCTAAGTTTGTCTCTGAAATATGTTTCATTCAGTTTACAGAAATCATCTTCGTTGATCACCAAACTAGAGGAACGGCTTACTTCAAGCGCCGCACTGGTCAGTCCATTAGAGCCTCTCTTAATTATGGGAAACAGGCAAACACATATGGACTATGGGACGGTGTAGGAACAAACAACGCCTACTCCTACCAACTGCTGATCTGCGACACATCATTTTACAGCGGTTTCTTCGTGTCAGGTTACACGGGAAATTGTTACAAACATTGTAACACATGGTGCGCAGACTTGTATTCGCCATACTTCCGTACGACTTCCACTGGGGACAATTACAAAGGCGTGGCCTTCAATATAAACGGACATCGCACAGTAAATTACAGACTGATAAGTGTCGGTCTGCGCTGAGAGGTCCAATTAACAAATGGATTCCATGTTGTTGTGCATCTCTTCAGTAATAAATCACATATGACGTCAAAATGTGGCACACGAGGCCCAGCCGAGTGTGTCACTGATACTCTTACCATAATTTGACATCTTCTATTATCTACTATTGAATAGCAGTTAATTGTGACGTAATTCATGCGTTTGTCCTCTAATAGATCATAGATAAGAACCAATCAAAATGCGTGTGATCAGAGTGAACAGTCATCGGCCCAAGACTAAAGTCAATTGGACTAAATTGTTAACATGTATCTATTTTACAAACACAACTACCGAGATGGGACTAGTGGCTAGTGGGCTTGATTTAGCATTCTCACTTTGTAAATCCTTTCTTTACAAATTAACTAAGAAAACGCGTTTAGATTTCAGTTCAGGTGATAGTAATTACGACTATTAGTCAGTTTGAAAATTCGAAAAAATAACTGCAAGGGTGGAATAACATCTGGCCGAAACCACGAAAGTACATGCGAATTCTAACGGGTGTACACGAGTTTTATTACAAAGAAATGATATATTTTAGGCTTCCCACCTTGAAAGCAGGAAAATTTTCAGTTAATTAAAAAAAAGATGCGGGGCTGTTGTTGCTTTTGTCACGAAGGCAATTATTTTTTACCACCATGATGTCCACTTACAGTGGAGGTTTGGTAAGCTAATTACATTCTCGATCAGCTCAGTGTAACGTGGTTTCCAGAAATCGAGAAAACAATTTAGAACTTCTTCTTATTCCGGATCATTTTGCTGAGTTATTTTAAGGATATCTCATCACGAGCGTCGAGAATGTTCTTAATACTAAAAAAATAGTTTTTTGAAAAAGGTATGACGCAATCGGCTATTATATTTAAGGTTTGAGATCGTCAGATTTAGTAGGGTTTTCGGAGGTTTAAGATACCACTGTAAAGTTATGTCACAGACTAATAAAGTGTTTTAAGTGGAAAACAGAAATCTTCTATGGGCTTCCTGACGCTGAGGTCTCTTTAACCTGAGTTATTCAGCCGAGCATACAAGATTGGGTGGGAATCAGTAAAGGGTACTCAAAACAACTTTCTGAATAACATCTTAGAGCTAAAAATGTGTTATTTTTCTGAGATGCGTAACATCGCATTCGTCAAGGTGATCAAATATATCTTATCTCAAAGGCAAAGCGAATAAATTTTATTCATATTTAAATTAAACAGACTTCTAGCTTTTGTGAAAACAACCAATAGGGCTACTCCTTCCTCGTTGCACGCTGAGTTAAAAGTCACCGGTTATTGAAGGGAAGAAAATCACAGGTGCAGTGTTTTAAGACAAACTTCTTGATTTTTCATAGCCAACTACAGTGCCGTGAGTGAAATGTGTTACTAAGATCCTTTGCTTTATTCGAACATAAATCCGGCTTACTTTAGAAAAGGGGCTGACGTAGTGAGTATTGAAAATGGAACTATTGGTAGTTACAATAACGCTTTTGGCCACCTTTTTCCCAAAGAATTCTAAAGGTGAGTCCTGTTTTTTCGTTGATTAAATTTTGTCTTATTACTTCTTCGAAATTTCTTTAAACGAAGAACACAAAGAAAAGCAAGCTGTACATGATCTATGGTTGGTCATATATAGACAGTTGTGGAAGCATTTGTTTATGTTTATAACGTTTATGGAAAATACACTACATTCACATTTATTACCTAACAAATAGGCGCCTGTTGCATTGAAATATGACTTTCAATATCCTTTTCAACTAACTATCGGCGGTCTAACCCTATCGCTTACACTAGCAGATTCTATGCATTACATTTCGCCGTCCTGTCACTTTATTATTGGACTGTGACATTTGGAGCTCACAATATTACATTTAACATCTTCATAAAGAACCATTCGATTTCAAAATATAAAAACAAATCTGGTATCGCACAAATATACCGGGCATTGACAAAATCCTACTTGATAACAACCTGTTTTTGTTCCAGGCCGGTCACTATAAAGATTCCGAAATGTTTCTGTTATTTGATATTTAGGGTTCAGCCAAGGTTCGTCTGGAGGAGTATCATATGTCGAATACGGGCTTCAGCAGTTTTCCTTCTTGAACATCACAAAAATTGGCTCTGAACTTGTCCAACATGGCAGCGAGTGTGGATTTGCCTGCTTAGAAGTCACTTCATGTTTTTCCTATAACCTGGCTGTATTTCCTGATATCAAAGGAAGATTCTCATGTGAGCTGCTTCCATCTGACAAGTATAACAACTCGGCTAAATTATTTAACAGTCCGATATTTCATCACTTTAGTATAACGGTGAGTATAGAACTGATTCTGCGTTTGAAACTTCATAGTTGATATCTAGGGCACATGGTTCTCTACAAAAGTGTATTAGGCATGAGATAAAGGATAGACAAGGAAGTGCTTTGGTGCCGTACTTGCTAAAATCACGTAAAACAAGAGCAAGTGAAAACACAGGCGGCCCAAGCGTACTCAGGCTGTGTGGGATTTTGGGGTCTAAAGGTCATTAACGGGAATACATGACAAGTTAAAATCGAATTTCAAGCGTAACCGTGGGCCATTAAAAAAAAGGAAAAAGGGTTAAAAGAAACTAAAGAAAAATTCAAAAGGATAACAAAAGCGAGGAACATAACGTGCGAAGTCTCCTTGCCTTTTTTCCGTAGCCGCTTTGTCACCAATGTTCCTTTTAACGCTGTTTTGGCGACTTTCTTTGTAACGCGTGTGGTGCTACCAGTCAACTTTATATAGAAAGAACAAGGTTGGAAACTTCTACCGGTCCCGAACACCAACCGTCGCCACTCGAAGGCCGATAAATTCCACAAAAATCGACCGATCTCCCTCAGATTTCCACCCGCGAGGGCGCTTTGCTAATATCAACCCGTTCCAGCGTTAAAAGTTTCCAAATTCCGCTGCATCGATCCGAAAGCCGCTCTGTTTTATCATGGGAAACAGGCAAACACATAT